AACTCAAGATTCAGCCTTAGTTCTGGATCTTTTTAGATCTGTCCTTGAATAGAACTGACAATTCTGACAATTCCTTAGAGACAGCAAAAAGATATCCACTGCAGATTAGATGTGCAGTGTGTGTGTTCATGCACAAATGCATACATGATAGCAACAAAGACTGTTCTTTCAAAAGTTCCATTTCCAAAGACTGGTGAGTTACTGTGGTATTTTTTGCCGAAAGGTGGAGACCACAAAGTTCTCATAAAAGATACGGGAGCCATAACAGAAAAGCAATTATGGACAAAGTAATTAGGAGGGTGGAAAAGTATTTTTATCAAACTTAGTTGGTTCACTGTACTCACCAAATTTCCTTACACTGACCAGACAAGAAACCCAACAAGATGAATTAATTCTACTTTATTAAGGCTATGTTAACGAATCTTGCAAGTCTGAAAGTGAAATCTTCCACCATTCTTTTTACTGCCTGAGTTAGGGTAGATCCTTTCTAAGTTTCTTAGAATACTGCCCATTACTCTCTGCCCATTACTCAGTTGCAGGCTTTTTCCCTTTTATCTGATCGTTCTCTAGGCAGCATAGCTTCTCCCATCTTCAGGATCATTCTCACATTCCATTACACCCTGTTTCTGCGTCAGCGTCCACAGAGGAAGTAAAAAAAAAGCAAGATGGTGGACGCAAGCTCTGCCCCTTTTCTACATGCACCGATGAATCTAGCCCCTTCTTGACAGCCTCCCTCTAGTAGCAGATCATTATCTTAAGTCCCACTGTATTTACGCAAGTGCACTCATATTTTGAAAGGAATGGATAAACCAAATATATATACAGGTTTTCTTTTACTATTTTATTAGTTTGTTTTTGTTTTGTTTTTGTACAACACCTCATACTTTTTGGGAGCTGGCAGTCATTTCTTCAACCACTGTTATTGATTCACCTGCTACTGGTACTGGGGTCACCCACTTCTACAAAAGGGAAAATAAAATATCTTTGCATTAATTCCTAAAGGTCATGATTGATCCATTTCCATTTCTACTTCATAATTCATTCCAAATGACTACTTATTAATACACATAGCCAAAACTCTTATTTTTCCCTGCATCTAGAGTTGTTTTCCAATAGAGAGCCAGGATAGCAAAGTGGTTAAGGTTTTAGACTGGCATTGTGGAGACCCAGGTTCTAGTCCACAATCAGCCATGAAAACTTAGTGGGTGAATTTGGGCTAGTCACTCTCAGCACAAATTATCTCACAGGATAGATGTT